AGAGAGAGATAGAAACATCAATGATGTGAGAGAATCATTGATTGGCTGCCTCCTGCACACCCCCTACTGGGAATAGAGCCCATAACCCAGGCATGTGCCCTTGACTGGAATCAAACCTGGGACCCTTCAGTCCACAGGCTGATGCTCTATCCACTGAGCAGAACCAGCTAGGGCTCTTTTGGTTCTTTCTTAGGATTTCTGTCTCTGCTTACATTGCTTATCTGATCTCTCACTTTCTTTAGATTAGTGTTAGCATGATATCTTTCTTCATTTCATCTTTTATTCTATATGCATCTTTATTTTTAAAGTAGATTTCTTCTAGAAAACATATAGTTGGGTTAGGTTTTTTCATCCACTCTGACATATTTAGGATAAACCTAAAGAAATCCATTGCCACAGCATATAAAAATTAAACCTCTGAAAACTAAAGGAAAAGAAAATTTCTTAAAGGGACCATAGAAAAAATGTTTAACCTACAGGGAAAAACAATTTGAATGACAAGAAATTTCTCATCAGAAACTATGGAGACAAACAGTAAATATCTCAAAAAAATTTTTTTTTTTTTAGTTGCTGAAAGAAAAGAAAATGTAACTCAGAATTTCATAGCTAGTGGAAATGGCCTTTAGGAATGAAGGGAAATTCAAGCAAGATATCCTCAGGGGAAGGGAAACTGAAATAATTTGTCACAGCAGATCTACCTTAAAAAAGTAGCTAAAGGAAGTTTTCTAAATGGAAAGAAAATGATGGAAGAAACTTTGAAACATCATGAATTAAGAATTGAGTAAGCAAAATATGAATAAATAGAATAGGCATTTCTTCTCCTCTTGAGTTTCCTAAAGTATATTTATTTGATGGTTGAAGCAAAAAATATAACACTGTTTGGATTTCACGTCATTTCTTGAATCCACAAGTTTATGTCTTTTGCTACCTTTCAGAAATTTTCATTCATTATTTTTAGCACTTTTTTGCCCTATCCTTTTCCTCTTCTCTTGATTACAAGAATATATTATCTTTTGTTAGAGTCTCAAAGATCCCTAAGGCTCTAATTACTTTCTAATCTATTTTTTTTTCTGCTGGTTACATGAATAATTTCTATTGTTCAGTCTTTAAGTTCACTGATTCTTTCCTCTATCTCCTCCATTTTATTGTTAGGCCTGTCCTCTGAACTTTTAATTTTGGTTATCATATTTTTCAGTTCTAAAATTTATACTTGGTTCTAATTTATATCTTCTGTTTCTTTGCTGAGACTTTCTTTTTCCTTGCTGGGGTTTTCTATTTTTCTTCCACTAGATTCAAGTGTTTGCGATTGCTCATTGAAGCTTTTATTTTTAGGGAGGAGGAGAGATCAGTGATGAGAGAGAATCACAGATTGGCTGCCTTAGGCATTTTTTGATGGCTGTTTTAACATCTGTGTCAGATAATTCTAATGAGCCTGTCATCTTGGTATTGACACCCATTGATTGTCTGTTTTCATTTTGTTTGGTTGTTGGTATAATGAACATTTTTAGGTTGAAATCTGGAGTTTTGTATTATGTTGTGATTCTACATCTTACTTAAACCTGTTTTAGCTGGATTTCTCTGACATCACTTCAGCAGCAGAAGGGAGGGCACTGCCTCTTTATAGTCAGGTGGTTGTAGAAACCCAGGTTTCTTAGTCTCTATTTATTGACTTGTGGATAAGAGTCTTCTTATTATTGCTTCGTAGGACACCATGGGTGGCAAAGTGCAGGATATCAAGGTTCTGGAGAAAGATGGCAAGGGGCAGACGTGTCCCCTGCAACTCCCCAGCCAGAGGTACTCCTTCTCCCAAGAGGATACCTCAGGCCATGGGGGATGGGATCACCTCACAGCTGAATACTAGACGGTGCTGGGGGTCAGGCTGGTTGAAGGCGGGAACATTACTGGGAGGTGCACTCTGAGCCAGACAGCAAGGCATTAGGCTTGGGGGTGGCCTACTGCAGCCTGGGCTGCTTCCAGCAGCTAGGTAAGACTGCAGGGTCCTGAAGGCTGCTCATCAACACCTGATTGCGGTGCCCTGCCCTACAATGCCCATATCAAACTGCTCCTGCACACCTTCAAGGCCAAGTTCACTCAGCCACTGCTGCCTGCTTTCAGTTTGGTGTGGCAGCTTCCAGGTGACGACAGGCCTACAGGTCCCTGCTTTGTGTGCTGCCTGCAGAAGAGAGGCAGGGCCACCAGCAGCTCCAACACTGGCCTCACCTAGGCCAGTGCACCCAGGCAGGCTGATTTTAGGGGCCACCACCAGGCCTCGGCTGTTTCAGCCAGGCACCCTCCTCTCACTTACTGCTTGGAGCCTTAACTCCTAATGGGATCACCAATAGGAAGCAGGCACCAGGGCAGGCCCTCCTCCCCACCTCACTTCTTAATAAAGGTCTTAAAAACACTGAAAAAATCAGTTTTATTTTTTCCCTCGTTAATGCAGAAGATAGCTCACTGTAATGTAGTAACACCACCCAAACAAAATGAAACCAGAAAGCAAAACCAGCCCCGAACAAACACAACCTACAACCATGACAACATTTTGTCAACAATCTAGACTTAGAAATTTAAGAGGCTTGGCAAAGGAATAAAATATTCTACTTCTGTTAATTCTGTCCATGGACTTCATCAAGATTAGTTAGTAGGAAAACTTTTTGTTATAAGCTGATGGTTGTATTATTTATGAGTATAGGGAGACACAAAGAGGAACCTCGTTCATTGGGAGATGGACGTTACTGATAAAGGGAGAACTTATGTACATTTGACAAGGCTAAGGTTTTGCTTTCTGCAAGCTGTCTGTGGTTATATGATGGCTAATGACACATGCTTATCAGTTCACCTCCACTCTTAAAGGCCGAGGCCATGCGATATGTTCTCATCTACTCTATAAAACTCATACATTATGGACATTATTCACAAGTGAGTGGAAGGACAAAGGAGTTCCTGGTTGATGGAGTGGTTTTAGCCTCATTACTGTTGGGTGATTCTAAAACCCTGTCTCCTCACTGGCTTCTTTTGACTCCACCCCAGCAGAGAGGGGGAAGGGGCACCTCATTATTCTGTGTGTGGAGGGGAGGTGGCTGTATAGAGACTTCCCTCTTGGTCTCCACTGTGGATAAACACCAATGATTCTTTGAATCTAGACTCCTAACAAGTTTATGAAAGTTAAACTGCCTCTAAATAAGACATTTTAATTTTCCAAAGGAGAGGAGACATTTGTAATTTTTGGGAAATCAAAGATAGTGAAAAAATGAATGGGGAAATATACCTTCTGATTTTGTTCTGAAAGTTTATCTTACTGCCAATTGTTACTTAACATGTTGATTTATGTTGCATTCTCCTACTTTATCTATTTGTGTGTGTGTATGTGTATGTGTGTGTGTGCTTTAGGTTTAAGACTAAGCAATTGTATTCTTAGAGGAAAAGTTTTAGTAACTTAACAAATATTTTGATCCCTCTGAAAGAAATTGCTTTTGCAATATTTCACCTGCATCCTGTTCTCTCACTGCATTCCACTTCTTGAAAGCACAACTTTATATGGATGAGTACAATGTTGGGAAAAATTTCTTCTACCCATTTTCTCAGGTCAGAAAAGTTGTTTTCTGGAAGCTCATGGTATATTGTTCTTAAATAAAATAATAATTTTATAAGGAAGTTCTGGTCTTGGCCACATATTGGCAACATGTCTAACTAAATTTTTGTTTAAATTATCAACTTAACTTTTGTTACCTTCTGCTTGATGTCAATTCATTGCATGGTTTCACCCTGTATATGGAGATTACTTATCTGGCCATGATGGAGAGAGTTATGACCAAAACCTCCCCTTGTCTTCTGTATGCTTCTCACAGTGTACAGAATCAAATTTAAGAGGCAGCTAAGGAGATTAGACTCTATGATGCCTCAGTGTTTTAAGGGATATGTCAGAAACTGTTGATGTTCAGATTTCAGGATAAAGGGGAAAATATCAATTCAGAAAGTAGACCCAAGCATGAAGGATAGGAAGAGGCTACAAAAGCAAGTGCAGGGAAGAGATATTATTTTTGATGAGGAATTATGACAAAGTATGAGGCTGTCCACTCGAGGTGCTGATTTCCCTTTCCAAATCTTGATGAGCCTTAATTGTGATCATTATTGCACTTCACTTTTCAGGGGTGGTATTTCTCTGACTATTACAGATAATATCCAGTTCTGCCATGTAATTTAGAAGGATTGGTCTAGGATTTAGCTTGCAAAATGCAATGGTAGAGAAACAGAAAACGGCTACAGTTGTAAGTGCTTTAAAAGTGCTGCAGCCTAAAGACCTGTCAAGGAAAAGTGAAGAGAAATTTAGAAAAAAACTTTGTATATAAAAAAGACATACTTAAGGCTGGAAGAATTTTGATATAAAGGGTGAATGTGTGGATGAGGGAAAAAAATGTTTACTTTTTTCTTCTGCTTGAAATCTATTTTAACCAAATCTAGTTATTGGTATCCTTTTATAGATTTTTTTTTACCTGATGCCTAATAAACTCTCAATTGTGGTTTTAACTTACTCTTCAGCTCGAGAATATCTGTTTCCATTTTACTTTTCATTATTGTGTCTGTCTCATTTACTCAAGTTTTCCAATAGTACCACTAGGAATCCACAGGCTTAATCTCCACTTTCTTCTATCATGTTTGTTATCTACCTCACATTTTCATGGTGGCTTACTCAATTATTGGAGAGTTCCATATTTTTCATTCCCCTATTCAGATAAGGGGGTGGGAGGCATTCTATTATGCACAGTCCCAGGCAAATTCTTGGAATTATGTGGTCAGTGAAAAGTTGTAAGCCACAGACTACTCTATTCTCATATATTTTCTTGTCTTGTCAGCTTCCTATGGCACCTTGACACTCAAAGATGCAATGGGCCACTCTCTTCTTTTGATGGAGTTTTTTTTTTTTTTTTACAGAGAGGAAGGGAGACAGATAGAGAATTAGAAACATCAATAAGAGGGAAACATCGATCAGCTGCTTCCTGCACACCCCCTACTGGGGATGTGCCCACAACCAAGGTACATGCCCTTGTCCGGAATCGAACCTGGGACCCTTGAGTCCGCAGGCTGATGCTCTTTCTGCTGAGCCACACCGGTTAGGGCGGGCCACTCTCTTCTTGAGATGTTCAGTGGAAGGGGATGAAAGTGGGTATTGTCAAAACCTGGTTGTCTCAAAACACATGAAGTTCTGTCTTTTTTTCTATTTGGGGCAAGAACCATAGTCTTAAGGAATGCTGAAATGTTGGATTGGTCTGTCTTTTTCCTGTGTGACTCATTTGTTTTGTTTTAGAAGTCAACGCTGATGTAACAAGTCAAAGCTGATATTTTACTTTATGACCCTGTTTGGTAATATAGTTCATAGAAATACCTGGCTCTTTTCCTTTTTCCTCGTAACATGTATTTCCATCTGCAATATTAGGTTATCATTTGCTTATTTTCCTATCGTTTGTCTCTCTCTATTAGAACATAAGCTCCCTCTGAGCAAGGGATCTGATTGCTTTGTCCACTGCTGGATTCTTAGGGGCTGGCATGCAATGGATATGGCTCAGTAGATATTTGTTAAAAGGAAGAAAGGACATAACTGTACATTGGTGAAGACAAAGATGATTATCAGGCTCTTTACTTCAAAGACTCTATGGTCCCAATACACAGGGTATCCCAAAAATGTATACACACTTTGGTTACCATTATTAATTCCAATGGATTGAATCTGAAAAGAAAGAAACATCAATTGAGCTATCGGCTGTTAAAGTGTGTATACATTTTTTGGGGAACACACTGCATACAAGTGATTTAGGAAGGGAAGATACATGGTTTATTTTGAATATATTGGGTTTAAGGTATCCAAAATACATCATGGAGATGTCAATTGGTTATTTAGATTGAAAATATGAAGCTATAAGGGTAGTGTTATGCAAGTGGAGAGACTGGGGATTTAATAACATCTATATAGTATGTAGTGTATAAAAAGCACTAAACTGATTTTTTGTAGCATGGAATGACTAGGGGGCCAAAGACTCAACCCTTGTGCACACTAATGTGGAACTGAGAAAAATATTTTTATATAATTATGACCTCTGAGCTAAGAAAACTAAGTAAATGGACAAACATTGGACATTAAAGAGTGATTGAATAGAGATCTCTGGAGATAGGGATTTGTCTCCAGGAGCTACATTTACATATTCCAAGGAAGGAGGGTGCAATATCTGGGACCATCTGTTTATAATGCAAAGAATCACAGAATATCAAGGAGAAAAGGTTTACCTCTGTTTTTCTGGAGGGGAGAGTGCTAGCTATATGGTAGTTTCTATTTAAGTTCCCAGATTCATACATTTAGAATTATTCTCCCATAGTGCTAAAGAAAAAGTCACTTGTGGATGCAGGGTTACATCTGTCTCTCATTGTGTCACATTGAAGGGAGAACATGGGTCATAGAGAACCAAAATATTTGTTGCTGTAAAGTAATATTACTATGACTTTGATCCAAAAATCTAATGTTTGATTTTAGGGCATAATAAGTAAACATGGATATTAAAAACATTGGCTAATACTTATGTTCTAATAAGAGAAAAAAAGAAACTATGACTGAGAACTGGGAAAGGATGATATCTTAGAAGATAACCGAGTTTTTCAATGTTTAAAGAGCTCCCAGGTAGAAGATGGATTTAATCTAGATTATAAAGGGCTATATAAAGGTCAGTTGTCCTGGAAGGCAAGTTTTGGTGTCAACATTTTCAGTGAGGAACCCCACAAACCATTAGAAGAAAAGAAATAATATGTTGTAATGAAAATAATACTGAATCAGGAATAGAACAATGCTTAGAATTTTTTTGCCTTCCTCATAGTCATGTTGTTTCGTGCAAGCAAACATGATCATCTTTGAATCTCTATTTCCTCATCCTTAGTCAGTCTACTTAACAGGACTTTCCTGAAGATCAGTAATTGTAAATTGTAAATTTTTAAAGGCCAAAAGAATCTTAGATGCATTCTCCTGAACTAAAGATGTAAGGCAGAGATTAGGTGGCCATCTCTCAAACCATCTTGGCTGTCTGACATTCTGATAACTACAACCCCTGATGTCTGAGGGCAACTTCATGGGGGACCACAGTAAGAACCGCCCTGAGTCTAGTCAGCCCACAGAACCATGAGATACAATAATACATTTTTCTAAAATGTCATGTAGTGCTGCATAGCAATATGCTTCAATGCTTTTCTGTGTGAACTGGGAATATACAAGAAACTAAAATACTTGAGGATTCCCAAGGCTAATCACCCTATGTTTTGCTAAAAGTATAATCTTTGCTGTTATGACACAGTTAAGTGTGACTTTAAAATTTTTATGTGCCGGAGTGCTCATTTGCTTCAAGCCTCCAACTCAGTTCTCTGTGGGACAACTGCACTGTGGCTCCAGCTCCCCCAAAGGACATAATTCAACGTTTCTTTCCAAAGCCATTCATGTTACCAGGGAGTGCTGCAAATATATTGCAAAGGGAGAAAGAACATACGGGTTCCCTTACAGTATTTTCTTTGTTTAAGAAAATAAAATTACATAAAGAAAAAGAAATGATTTTCCCATCCTTTGGGAGGTCCCATAAGCACCTGAGAATTGCTTGAGAATATGATCTTGTTTTTGAGAAAATTGTATATTTTGGGCATACTTTTCCTGACGATTGAACACTAATGTTATTTCACCATAGGACACAGTCATTTATCAGCAAGGAGGCAATATGTGATAATAATAGAGATATACTTTAATTTTTCAGAATTCTTTTATATATATTAATAAAATTACAGAGTTTTAACGTGGGGAATAACGTTGGACAATAAATGCAGTCCCTTCGTTTTTTCAATAAGAACGATGGAGGCGAGAGGGTGGAGTGGTTTGCTCATGGACAGTTAGCTAGTTGGTGGCAGAACCAGATTCTTCAGTCTTTGTCCACTACCCATCGTAGTGCTTCTGTTTTGGGAGACCTTTCCCTGGTAAATATAGCAAAGCTTCTTTGTCTAGTTTTATAGTTAAGGCAGAGTATCATTATGGTTGAGTGATTTAATTAAGGTCAAAAAGGCAATTTAAAACATAACCCTAAGCACTCCTACGACCCCTTATCATCCCAGCCATTCCACTCCTGGGCATATACCCATTATTTTTTTAAAATATATTTTTATTTATTTCAGAGAGGAAGGGAGAGGGAGAGAGATAGACATCAATGATGAGAGAGAATCATTGATTGGCTGCTTCTGGACTCCCCCCCCCTCCCACTGGGGATTGAGCCAGCAACCCAGGCATATGCCCTTGACCGGAATCAAACCCAGGACCCTTCAGTCCATAGACCAATGCTCTCTCTATCCACTGAGCCAAACCAGTTAGGGCCCATAATTTATTTTAATAGCGTGGTTGTGTGGGTTCACTAAACAATGTAAGTGACATACATCACCTAAAGTAGAGTAGATGATTAAACTAGTTTCCTTCTTTTCTCTGTAGGTTATACAATCACGTTTCATGGAGCAGAGTGGAGAGTTAATTGACTATGTTTTTCTGTCAAGAAGATACATGTTAAGGCTGCTGTGGGGTTGAAGGGTGAGGCTCTCTGGCTTTTCTAAGTCAAGTGCAGTTATTGGTCAGTCACGCTCCGGAGGCAATTAACACATTCTCCGGACAAAGTTCACTTTCAAAAGACTTCTCTAACTCTGCCATTCTGATTGCTATTCTAGACACCTTGGTTGTTATGCAGATTTTTTTGGTGTGTGTGTGTGTGTGTGTGTGTGTGTGTGTGTGTGTGTGTGTCTGGTGACTGCATCTTCTCTGCATAGGACTGGAAGATCATCCAGGGAATTCTTTTGGGGTCCCAGATACTTCCTACAAGAGGAAGCTGATCCCCAGGAGCCTGGTAGTTTGGTACCTTTATATAGTGTGCCCCCCAAAAAACTGTATACACATACTTTGAATAATTATAAAGATAGTAGTGTTTATTAAAATACATTTCATTTTCAAAATTGAGCTATCAGCTGTTAAAATGTGTATATGTTTTTTGGGACTCCCTTTAGATGAAGCAGAAATGGCTTCCCCTTAAGTACTATTGGACCATTCATATGTAATAGATAACTGGGACTTTATTCAGTCCATGATGTGCGATGATAAGCAGAGCGAGGGCTTTGCAATTTTACGTATTTGCATGCACCTGCTAATTCTAAGTTTTATTCGCTTTATGACCACTACAGTCATTTGTTTCTCTTAGTTTCAGAATTCTCTTTGATGAAAAAAGAAGATAAAGGAAAAAAGTTAGGCAGAGAGAGGAGAGGAGGAAGGGAAGAAAAGAGGAAGGGAGGGAAGAAAGAAGGAAATTAATATCTTTTTTTACCAAATTGTTGTGAGAATAAATCAAAATGAGATAATTTGAGAGATAATTCGAGTAGGCACTTAATAAATATTTTTGCCACCCCTCCCCCCTTTTCTTAAAACTGATTTTGGAGTTTAAAAGCCTTTATTAAATAATGAATCTGGACATGATGGGTGGAGATTACATAAGTGGGAAGGGTATAGTCCCTGTCCTTAAGGACCATTAGATAACACAAAAACTTGTTTAACATAAATTAGATTGCAGAGCCCTGGTAGGGAACTGTGCCTAAAAGCTAATAAAATTTCTTACAAATATCACTGAGAAGCTTCCAGCGAGTCTTCTTGCTCCTGTGTCATCTTGTTACAATGACATTTCAGCCAATATATTTTTGGCTTGATGAATGCCTGGCTTTGTCCTCAGGCCGTCTATACTGTTTCACTAGAGAACTTGTCATAGTTAGAGAAACTCCAAGAAGGGGACTATATTATTGCCATTGTATTGATGAGGGAAATTAAGGTCCAGTGAGGTAAAGTAACAAGTCCAAGGTCATATGGGAGGTAGCACCTGGGCCTGTTCTATCCAACTCTGGAGACTTGATTCATTGTCGCCATGTGCTGTTGCCTCTCCAGGTCTTGAAGAAAGTCAGGAGAGCAGGTTGAATAGCAGAGAGCATGGCTTCCAGAAATGACACAATAGAAGCTTTAGCAGGTTCTGAAGGGAAAGACATTCAACAACTTGGCCCGTCTGAAGATGGGAGGTAGCACCTGGGCCTGTTCTATCCAAATCTGGAGACTTGATTCATTGTCGCCATGTGCTGTTGCCTCTCCAGGTCTTGAAGAAAGTCAGGAGAGCAGGTTGAATAGCAGAGAGCATGGCTTCCAGAAATGACACAATAGAAGCTTTAGCAGGTTCTGAAGGGAAAGACATTCAACAACTTGGCCCGTCTGGAGTAAGGACATGGGATAACTATCAGCAGCTGCTGGAACAATTTGGGAGTGCCACTGCCCCAGGTTGAGAAGAACCAAGCACACATTAGGCTGGCTGCTTGATTCAGAAGTAATTAACTTCCTTGTGTTTTGTCAGTTGGGCAGGAGAAAGAAATGGCTGTGCCACGACTTCCCTTCTTCCTCTCATTAAAAGCTCTGCAGTCAAAGCACTCAGTTAATATTCTCACGCACAGGCACGTGGAAACCAACCCTTCCCATCTGCTTATGCAAAGAGCCATCGTGCTGTGAGGTAAGGACAATGTAACAGACTTTATCTCTTAAGTGTTGAAGGGAATGGCTCCGTTTCTGTGAAACCATCCATTACCTTTAGAGTGGTTTTCAGCATAATGCAGAGGATGCATGATTTTTACTGCCTTTTAAACATTTGCAAGATGGATGCTGTTTTAAAAATATTGAGATAAAGCTGCGCCTAGGGAAGAATGCTATGCGGGGGTCTGTGTGGGGAGTGTTAGAGGCATATGGGATTCTTTTTTTAAAATATATTTTATTGATTTTTTACAGAGAGGAAGGGAGAGAGATAGAGAGTTAGAAACATCAATGAGAGAGAAACATCGACCAGCTGCCTCCTGCACACCTCCTACTGGGGATGTGCCCAAAACTCAGGTACATGCCCTTGACTGGAATCGACCCTGGGACCTTTCAGTCTACAGGCTGACGCTCTATCCACTGAGCCAAACCAGTCAGGGCGGGATTCTTTTTTTAAGTGAAGGCTGGGCTAGGGAAAGTCACCATTGGGTAAAGTTTGTCTTTCTCTTCTTTCTGTGACTCCCTCTCCTCCACCTCCGGAAATCCGATTCCTTCACCAAACTGCTCAGAGCAGCTTCCTCCCCTGGTTTTCATCCAACATTAAACACTGCCCTCTGACTCCAATTCCCAGAGCCAGAAGTTCAATTTTGTAGAAACAAAAGTGCTAAAAAAAAAGTCTATTTCTTTCATCTCAAGGGGAGCAAGCATGTGCCCAGCCTTGCCACTTAACACAGGGCCCGGGGCCAATGGCATAAGCCCACCTGGGAATTTGTTTAAAATGGAGAAGTTTGCGTTCTGCCTGAGACCAATCGAATCAGACTCTGCATGTTAACATGTTTCTCAGTTGATAAAAGTTGGGAAGCTCTGCTCTAGAGACTCAAAGTCCTTCCATGGGAAACAAAACCCGGAGCAGAATTTCCTATGCATCGTGTCTTCCCCAATTCCATGTGGTCTTAACCTGTGATGGAGTCTGAGGTCAGTTTGCACAGTTCGGGAATCTCAGGGTTAAATTAAATTAAACAGGTCATTAGAACGACGAAAATACTAACATACCCTAATTGCAACCAGCTGCCATGTCGGAGTACTTATATTCAGGTACACTTGAAAATTTTCTGATTTATTTTTCACCATAATTCTATGAGGAAAGTACAAAACATGTCTCTATTTCATGTGGGGAGAAACTTAGCTTCAAGAAATTAGATATGCGGCCAAAGGCCACAGAGCTTGTGAAGTAGAGATTAAATTGAAACCCAGGCGACCCGACCCAGAACCTAAATGACTGTTCTGACCCTGCTGAAAGGTCTACAAGCCTCTAGAATTCTGATCTGCTTTGTGAATCTGTAAACCACATCTATAGTTAAGGTTCCCAAAATGGATTTGGCCACAGAGCCCCCTTTAAAAGGATGGAAGAATTCTCTAGAAGAGACCCCACAGAACATCTGGGAGCTGTCTCCCTTTGTCCCCCGTGCACTGTCAACCCTCCTTCTCCTGGCTTAGGGTTCCTATATCCAGCCTCTGTGGATGGCATTCACAGGACAGTCTTGCCCTCCAGCTTATGGTTAGATTCAGCCAATGGGCGTTTGATGGTCACAGTCCAGATGGATGGAGAGGTCAGATCACTCATTCACTGGGCTCTCTACCTGCTTGACTGCAATGCATCTCTCTACCAAGGGACACGGCTTCAGGTTGGTCATTCTTTCTTACAGCTTCAGGTTCAGGGGCGGGAATGGACCCTTCCTCTAGGGCAGTGGTTCTCAACCTGTGGGTCGCGACCCCTTTGGGGGTTGAACGACCCTTTCAGAGGGGTCATCTAAGACCATCAGAAAACACATAAATAATTACATTTTTTTGTGATTAATCACTATGCTTTAATTATGTTCAATCTGTAACAATGAAATTGGGGGTCACCACAATACCTCGTTTCTCCATGGGCTTTATTCAGGCATTTCCAAGGGAATTGCGAGTATTCCAGGTGGAGGATTCTGAGAAACTAATATGGACGGATGTTGGATACTCACACCTGAGGGAAATGGATACAGCAAAAAGCACAGCCTGAAGCACTCGTTTCTTCTCATTAGAAACACAGAGGAGCATGATGTGGCCACTATCTCAGAAGAAAACTGCTGGGAGCCATAGCGTTAGGGTCTCCTAGGGGGTGAGTATTAGGTGGAGGCGATGGGTCCTGAGGAAAGGGGAGGCTATGAAGAAGGCTGCTGCAAAGAAAGAAGAGGAAACAAATTCCTTCCCTAGAAAGTGCCTCTGGCCTCAAGCAGGAGTGACAAAGTGGATCCGTGGGGTCTAAGGTATATTTATGTTTGTGAGAGATGTCAACCTTAGAGCATCTTTGAGTCCAGGCGGTGGCTGTCAGAACTGAATACCCCTTCTGGGGACAAGAGACATCTGGACCAGGTCAGATATGCTGAGGCACTGGGGTATGAAAAGAGTAAAGAGAACTGACAAAAAAAAAAAAAATAAGAGACATTTTGAAGAAAGG